AACTGCTGACCTTCTGGTTAGCAGCAGAGTTCTTAGCCACTGTACCACTGGGGCTGCCCATATGTTAAGACTTTATTTAAATATTTTAGCTGACAAAAATCCAATCTTCCTGACTCAGTTTACGGCGTGTGCTTAGATGAATCAAACACATTTAAAAAAAAAAAAAAAAAAGAAGAAAAAGTGTGATTATGTATATGAAATCTATTAGTTTTAACTTTTAAAGAAAAATATTAGATTACATGCAGTAGTTATGATTTTGTCAATGCAATGCACCTAAGGAATGTGTAGGCTTTTCTTCTTTCTATACATTTAAGACTTACTGTACTCTGGTGGCATAGTGCCTAAGGCACTTGACTGCTAACCAGAAGGCTGGGAGTTCAAACTCACCAGACACTCCTTGGAAGGAAGGTTGGGTAATCTACTTCTGTAGTGATACCGCCTCAGAAACCCAATCCTTGGGTTACTATGAGTCAGATCTGACTTGATGGCAGTGAGTTTGGTACTTAAAAAGACTCAAAGATGTTGTTCTTTGAAGCAGAGAAACAGTTAACAACTAATATTCAAGAGAACCATTAATATTTAAAACCATTCTGACACCATCTGTTAAGGGCTATTTCAGTAAAAATCAAAGCTTGAATAGTGTTATTTATTGCTCTACATTCTTTAACATGGACCACAGAAATCACACTCTCAAAGAAGGTAAAACAGATTGTGGGGTGTGTGTGTGCAAATGCACGTGTGTGCATGTGTGTGGTTAGTGTTAGGAAGAACCCTTCTCATCTCTGGGTTTATAATATGACCTACATTATAGCTAGAACCCTCTATCCTCATTTATGATCTCAGGTAATTGCAAACCAGGAGTCATTCACATGCCATCAGGTTGTATTAGTGCCAGTACAGCAGATACACCCTAGTTCATACAGATTACAATGACTATAACTTAAAGGAACTACAATCTAAAACTCACCTGGCTAACCCAATTTTTGAGGTTATCTTGTCTTCTTGGTCCTTAATACAATCAATCCACTGTTCCCAGAACCATACAAATCTTCTCTTTCTAGTACTTCAAATTATAATAATTTTTGTCAAATATTAAACAATTTAAACTCTATGTACATATATACAGACAATGAATGTCAAGGGAAACACAAAGGGTTATTTTTAGCTTACATTTTATCACTTTCCTATTAATGGTTACAAAGACAACTAAATCATTATCTACAGTTTGAATTCATTAAATGATAGCTAAGTAAACAGAAGAAAGAGATAGGCAAGCCATATTTGTCTACTAGGGTGATTATATTACTTTTTCTTTAGAAAAGGGAGATATTTTATTCTTTTTAGACTTCAGAAATCTGATAAAAAAATCTACATCCATTACCAAGAATATTCAAAAAATCCTGTGTTGATTACTCTCAAAATACTGTTGATGGATTCCTTTGGCAAAAGAAACAGAACATCAGCTGATGAAATAAGATATATATTAAAGAAAATAATTAAAATATGAACCACTTGGTCTCTAACTCTTAGAGTCTAACAAAGACTGAGCTCCTACCTACCCCCAACTTTCTATTGTGATTTGGGTGAAAGTTTACAGAGCAAGACTCAGCTTTTTTAAAGAGATCATTTTCACTATCAAGCAATTTGGATATAGAGGAACTAAAAAGAATTAAAATATGTGCTAAAGCAAGAGAAGTATTTGTTTTAAAAATCATATCATGCCTTGCATGAATTAATTAACTTAATATTTTGTAAGTTGTGTCTTCAGCAATTCAACTAGCATTTAGCATGACCAAAGTTTAATTAAGTTAAGGAGTTGGTGGTGCTTTGAATTAGCATCAGATGCTAATAGTCATCTCCACCCAGTCACCCCTTCATCCCCTAATGTGTCCTTGAAAATGGTGTGTGTTATCCAGGCTATCTAACCTTTTGTCAAAGGCAGATATATACGGAACATTACTTAATCATTATAATTCCAAGGTCACTATATTTTCCCTCCCAGTATTTAGTACATTGAAGTAACATCAAAATAACTTTAGACGGCTATAAAACCATAAATTTGGTCCCACACTAAATTCAGTTTCACTGAGAATAGTGGCCCTTATTTTTATTGACAATTGTGAAATGCTATTGATATGGATATAGTCTCATAACATCTTTAAACCAAAATCCAAACCCACTGCCACTGAGTCGATTCCAACTCATAGTGACTCTATAGGACAGGGCAGAACTAACCCATAGAATTTCTTAGGCTGTTAAATCTTTACAGAAGCAGACTGCCCTATTCTCTCCCAAGGATCGGCTAGTGGGTTCGAACTATTGACCTTTTGATTGGCAGCTGAATGCTCTGACTCACTGTACCCCAGAGCTCCTTATTCCATCTGTGTACTCTAGGGTATCAATTGTGTTAAGAGTCTTAGCCTGTGTAGAATCCTGCTTGTGTGGTAAGACCACAGCAAATCAATGTCCTTTCAAAAATTATTGCCTGTAAGAAATTGTATACATACATTTGCTTCCTTTTTTCAAAAATTATTGCCTGTAAGAAATTGTATACATATATTTGCTTCCTTTCAAATGTCTAAGCAGCTTAAAGTTTCTATTATCTGTAGAGGAAGTAGTTCAGGTTAGATGCCGACTTGAGGCAGCCTAATACAGGAAAGTTGCCATATTTGTATATTTTATTCTAGTGAAAAAGATACCTTAAATATGATCTACCAGTTGACTGGAGAGAATGAGATCTAATGTTTTAAGTTTTTAGGCTCAAAGTTCAAGGGATTAAAGAAGTATTGTCTGAGAGCAGGGATTTCCACTGAGTCATTCTGATTTGACCTCCTGCTGAGAATTCTCATTTCTATTCCAGATACTGAATCAGAATCTATATTTTAACAAGATCCTCAGGTGACTCTATGTATACATAAGATCTATAACATGGAGGTGTTAAAATGTAGAAATAGTGTTTTGGTGGCGCAGTGGTTAAGGCATCTGGCTGCCAATCAAGAGGCTGGAGGTCTGAACCCACCAGCCGTTCCATGGGAGAAAGATGTGGCAGTCTGCTTTCAAAATTACAGCCGTGGGGTAGTCTACTCGGTCCCTATAGGGGTGGCTGTGAGTAGGGATCGATGTGATGGCAATGGGTTTGGTTTTTTTGGTTTGGGTGGAAATGCAAATTGTCAACAGGGTATCCAACCAGTTGGAAACCCTGTTTGAGAGGAAGCTTAACACCTTACAGATGACTGGTTGCCTGGATCTGATGACCTAGGGAACAAAATAGGAAGACCTTAACATACAAGCATATATAAGGAACACATGAGTTTGATTTCTGACACAAAGGAAATGTGTCCAATACCTGTAAAAGATAAGAGTGCTTACTGAAGAAATTTAAATTTATATGGAAAAAATAAAGGATAGGGTTAACACAACTATAGGTAGACGTCCCTTTCAAAAATGAAGAGGAGTATGTTTCTTTTCCTCCCATGGAGGAATTAATTTGGGTGTAGGGGAATGGGACTCCTGGAAGCACTGACCCTGAATGCACTGTAACAGAAAAGTTCATTTTTCTTCTGTGAACTGCCAATGTACATGATGAGGTGAGGGAGATAGGGGTGGGTGTAAGAATTCTAAAGGAATATGAAGACACTCAGATGGAAATGATAATGGTTTGACCTTAATTCAAGAAGAAAAGTTTAAAATGGCTAACAGATGCCTCTTGTGAAAGTGGGGGGAGGAGTGGGCCAGAAGAAATTCTGGACAAAGAAGGAAGTAGGTCTTCATGGTTGGGATATGACTGACAGCTCTTGTCCCAAGAAAATAAAAATCACTCAAAAGGTGCCAAGGACAAGAAGGGTGCCTTGTAGCACTCCCTCACATACATTTACTCCCATTTAAAAAACTAACTAAAGACACCCCACCATACAAACTCCTCTATCACATTTTTATCCAAAGACATCAAACCATTTTTTAAAGGATATCCTTGTGACCTCTCTGTGAAGCAGGTAGCATAATTCTGATTTTTATTCATAATTAAGCTGAGGTACACAGCTGAGTGGCAAAAGTGGGTTTGAATAAAGTCAATTTTCACCTCCCTGGCTCTGTTCACTGCAACACATTTCCTCCATCTTGACGTATATAAGCCAAGAAACTCTTCTACAAAAAGTCCTTAGAAAGAGTAGTACTAAGAGCAAGCAATATTATTCATGACTCTGGGAAGACAGCACACTTTTAAAAGGTCTCTGACCTAGAAGCAGATCTTCACTTAAGAGTACTAGAATATGCAGCCCTTTTGAATAAGGATACCAAATTGCCCATGATTATAGGAAAAAGGCTGAGATACAGCCTTCTTATCTCCCCCCCCCTGCTCAGACAAGAACAGTGGCAATCTTAACAAATCATACAATTCAAGGAACTAAGACTGGTGTAGTAAGTTCCAAGTCCTATATTTTGGTTACAGTTTTGATTATTTTGATCAGTCAGTACATGTCCATATTCTTGGTTCCAGACAATCCTCTTTTATCATAACCAAATCATATATATAAAATGTAAGTAGTATTAACACCAGGATCTGAAGCAAACAAAAGCATTTGGTCAGCACACACTGGTTCTATGTATTTTGGGAAACACTTCAGTACACAAAAGAAGCGTGCAATGTTAAGGAGATGATGTGAATGATATTGGTGGCTTATCTAATGGAGAATTCCAGTGTCTTTTCAGGAAACTAAAGATATATAAAAGTTGCTCCCCGATTTCTATTAACAACTCCCTAAAAATGAACATTTCCATTTGATACAAATATACAAATTTAAAATAATTGTGCAGTTCCTAGTGGCCTACCATTTTTAGATTGCTTATGTGCATAAAATATACAGTCAATAAAAAAATACCAGAGAGCTGGGGACAAAAGAATCTCTGGATCTGTACAGCAAAAATGAGTAATCACTTCAGTAGGTAGCGAGTTGTGGAGAAAGTGGCATTCTTGGAAACCAGCAGCACTGAAAGACGACAGGTCACAAATCTGGTGATGGGGGGTATGATGTATAGTAAGGCCCATTTTCCTGTGGAAGAAAAAAAAAAAAAGAACATTAAGTAACAAGACCCATTCAACTGGGTATGTGAAAGAATGATTTATAGTCAATGTGAAAGTAAATGTAAAACTTCTAGCATATGCCTGGCATTGAGCAGTCCTCTAGCCATTGGAGCAGTTGGACTGGAGTCAGTCAAAGCTGGTATTAAAGTAGGTAGAGGCAATAGAATAGTAATATTTTTAAGTTATAATACCATTATAGAATATTTTATGTGCCAGAGACTTTATAGGCACATTTCTTTCATTATCCTTTTAAATTCTCAATAATGCCGTGAGATAGGTATCATTCTCATTTTACAGATGAAGAAACTAAAGATCGCACACCAAGGGCACCTAGCTAGTGACCTTTTTCGCTAGCAGAGCTTGTATTTGAATCCAAATCTATTACCATCTAACACCAGGTTCTTTTTGTTAGACGATATTGTCTTATTGTGTGCTGAGTCTTAAGACAGAGTTATGAAACAAAAGATATTATCATTGAGGTACTTAATAATTATAACTGTTTTGGAAGAAATGACTCTCCCATGACATGCCTGAGTGGCCAGGCTTATAACAAGTATAGTTCTCAGGGCATGTAGTTCCAGATCAAGATGGAGAATTGAATGCCAGAATTTTCTCAAGTCAAGTGAAGAAAGCAACAAATCAGTGTAAGAGAACATTTTTTGGCCCTCATTTTGGCAAATTTTATCTTAATAAAAATCAACATAGTTAAATTTATGGTAGAAGGTTCCTAGATTAGATTTATGAGACATAAGATTGGTCTCTTATTTTTAAGGAAAGTACTTCTTTGACGAAGAACTTGTTTTTTCGGTAAACCATACATAGAAAATACGTAGCATTAACGTAAGACAACAGTTAGGAATGCAGGATGAAAAGTAAGATGAAACAGCATTGCTTTAAAGTATTATTTATAGTTCTTATGGCACATTAAACCTAATCAGTCTTGAACATAGTAGACAGCTAGACGTTATCTGAGTTACTAAGTGAATCAGGAATGATGCCACTCTTCAGAGCAGATGCCCTGGAGCAGGAATTGATCATGGGCCATAACCAGAAAAGACAGTATCTAGGAAAACTTACTTAAATCTGACCAGGTATCAAAACATATTTTTTTAAACTTAGGGAGAGACAAATCCTAGAATTGGCTACAGTTCTGAAAACTTGAAAAAAATTACTGAAAGTAATGTTTCTGTGTCGGATTCCCAATTAATCCCGTATCCTCAGTAAGCATGGAAACTATGCTTAGGGAAACATGTCCCAAAGAGATAAATCTTCTGGGAAGATCATCTGAAAACAATGATTCACTATCATCTTTAAGATTTTTCTAGTCCACTACCAGCTTTTTCTAGGTTAAACTATGTTAAACTAAGAAAAGCAAGTATAATACTGAATGCTACGAAACAGACCTTCTTACACTAATCTCTCGCTGTGCAGGAGGCTGCTGAGCGGTCAGATTATCTTCTCATTTCTGAAAACGTTCATAAAAATCTGATGCATCATTACCAGGCAAAACTGGGTATTCTCTCTTCTGACTGTTTATAAGAGGCTTGACTAACTCCCTTTCTAAAATAGTTCCAGTATCATTTTACGTAGATAGATAAAAATTACCTTCATAGGTCCCTTTTAATTCTATTAAATTTCTGTTTTACTCTAAGTCACGTAAGTCCCAAAAAATAGAAGTTCACTAAAACTTGCTACAAACCAACACCATTCTATTCCGTCACCAAATAAAGAACCCTATGTGCAAGGCCCAATTGAACTTGAAACTAAAATTAATCAACTCTACACTCATGTTTTTTCTCCAATCACATTTTTAATTCTTCTTAAACCCATTGTCAATTCCAACTCACATCAAAACCAAACGAAACTCACTGCCATTGAGTCGATTCAGACTCATAGAGACTCCCTTTGGATTTCTGAGGTGGTGAATCTTTACAGAAGTAGATTGCCCAGTCTTCCTTCCGCAGAGTGGCTGGTGGGTTTGAACCACTAACCTTCTGGTTAGCAGTCAAATGCTTTAGGCACTATGCCACTAGAACTCCTCTGACTCATAGTGACTCTGTAAGAGAGTAGGCCTGCTCCATAGGGTTTCTAAGGCTGTTATGGAAGCAGACTACTACATCTTTCTCCCATGGAGTGGGTAGGTTTGAACTGCAGAACTTCTGCTTAGCAGCCAAGTTCTTAACCACTGCACCACCAAGGCTCCTTAATCCTTCTTAGCAAAGGGAACTTTTTTCTTGCAAAGTAATATTCAACTGCCTACTGGTTGGATATAGTAATATTTAGCAAAATAATATCCAACTGCCACCTCAATGTCCCACTGGGCATCTCAAACCTAATGCACATATCACCTGTCTCTTCTTCCATACCCCTTAATGCTTTTACTTCTAAATTTGTGCCTGCAATGGTAGAAAAACCATCCACCAAGTCTCCCAAAGCATGAACTTTTGGAAGTCAACTCAGGCTCCTTCTGCTCTTCATCCATAATGACTACTTACTTACTAAATCCTGTGAATTTTACTTCCTAAAATGTCTATTCCTACATATCACCCAAATGTTCAAATCCTTGCCATCACCACAATCACTGCCCTAGTTCTAGGGCTTTCCTCTAGCTGGCCTTCTGTAATAGCCTCTTCTTGTCTGCTTCCCTAAAGTCTCTCTAGGCATTCTCCATGCTTCATTATTGTCATCTTTCTAAATGGGAATCTAATGACAATCCTCCCTTGTACAACACTCCCCACTGACTACAAAGCCAAAGCACTGCAGCACAGTGTGGAAAGCTACAGTATTTATAGTGATTTGCCCATTCTACATCACTGGACACATCTTTTGTTTCCTCTACATTTTTATTCCTCTTTGGCCTTTATATAGATACATTAATATCTCAATTTTAGAAAATGTTAATATAGGTATAGAAACATGATCCAATGAACCAAGCGTTAGATTACAGGTTATTTTATTTAATATTTTATTAATCAATTAGGCCTATATTTGACACTATAAAGGTAAAAGAAAGAAAACAATAAAACAAGCTTGATTGTGATGAAGTTACAGTTGATATTTAATGGAAGCCTGCTGTATAGGCTCTTAAGTATACAGAAAATATGCTGGCTTAAGAAATAGTCCTTTGTGTTTTCTAACCAACACAACACGTGTACTATTATCCCAGGAAATAAATTATAAATCCAAACACTAGTTTTGAATTGTCATTCAAATATTTTTGGTACCAAAATGTCTTTAAGTGTCTTTTATATTTCTTGCTATCCATTACTTAAGTATTAAGAAGAGTAATGTATACTTCAAAGGAACAATAACAAGGTCATTTTTTACTCTAGCAATCTGTGGTAAATACAAACTAATGTTCTTTTTCACTTTCCATTACTCAGTAATCTTTGTATCTGTGTCCAATTGCCCCAGTTATAAATATTGTCTGTATAACAGCCAAACATGAAATATTATTAGCCTTAGAACACATTAAACACATTGGTTTTCACATAAAGGTGAAGAGATGTCATAGCTGAAGTTAGAGGAATGCTGGAGAGAAAACGTACTGCAGGATTTTAATTTTACTGCACACATGTTGCACAATAATTAGGAAGGAATAATTCATCTCAAACTTAAAATAACATTCAAATGTATTCCCTCATTCATGCATAAGGATATTTAAACAGCATCAGTTATATGATGAGTTTGATGAGCTTTTGGCAAGTATGTTACTTACTTTTTAAATTTTAATTACTAAGGTGATACTATGAGTATACAAAATGGAACAGACTTCTGATGAAATTTAAGAGCAGCCCATTGATTAGTGTTTACTTAAACACTATGCACCATAAATGCATCTGTAAGTAATAACAGCACTAATATTATTAGTTGATGGCCTCAAAAACATTATATTAACTTTTAGAAAAAGGAAATTTTGGACTAAGATAAGCTACCCTATTTACAATCAATGCTGCAAGTGCACAATACAGATTCTTCTGGCTCTACTGACGTAGATGAAAAGTAACCAATCTTAAGGAAATTAGGCAAAAGCATCTGTCCCAAAGGTGGTAGAAAACTGTAAGTACAACCATGGATTGGTCTTAAACCTATAGCCATAAAAATCTCCCATTGAAAGAGTACATTTTGGGTAAATGCCCTTTCTCAGGGCAAAGTTTTTTCTTACAGTTATCTAAAAAAGTTAAATGATACTGTCAAGTATACTAAAGCACACTGATTTACATTAATAATAGCTTTTTGTGCTCATAACCAATGCTCTACAGAATAGTTAAGGTACTACACCAGGAGAGGGAGAACTCCTGGTTATTCTTACCCTGGCATCGTATTCAAGGACAAAAGGAGGAAAGTCAATCTGTTCTGGAGATATGGCAGAAAATAGCTGGTGGAGGCTGTCCACATGGTGGATTTTATCCTTTAGTCCTGAGACAGAAAAGGTGGTGAAAAACCATGTTGATACCTGATTAATAAGAGAGAAAAAATAATTTAAGCCAGTAGCCAGAATTAGAAATGAAAATACAATTTTGAATAATTATACTAGATAAAAACTATACTTCAAAATTGAAATTGATGCCAGAAGAATCTAGCACTATCCAGTGTTTTTTTGAAACTGCATGTTGTAGTCCATTAGTGAGTTGTAGAATTAATTTAGTGGATTATGAACATTTAAAAAAATAAACAAACAGGGTAACAATTAGTAAGGAATGTAGCTAAGAGTAGGAGCTCTGGTGGCGCATGCCTAAGACATCTGACTGCTAACCAGAAGGCTGGCAGTTCAAACCTAACAGCCACTCCTCGGAAGGAAGGTTGGGCAATATATTTCCATAGTGATACCGCCTCAGAAACCAAAGAAGGGGTCACTATGAGTCGGATCTGACTTGACAGCAGTGAGTTTTGTTTGGTTTTGGTAGCTAAGTTTTGCTCTATGATGTCATGTGTATGTATGCTCCTATTTCTGTACTGTGTTGTGATGTAATATGTGCTTCTCACCATGGGTTGCAAGGAGCTCTGGAGGCATTGTGGTTAAAGCACTAGGCTGTTAACTAAAAGAATGATGGTTTGTATCACTAGTTGCCCTACAGCAGAAAGACGATGCAATCTGCTTCCATAGATTTACAGCCTTGGAAACCCTATGGGACAGTCCTACTTTGTCCTATAGGGTCCTCATAAGTCAGCATCAATTCCATGGCAGAGGGTTTGGTTTGGTTTTGGACTGTGGGTTGTGGACAGGAAGTCTGGAAATCACTGTGTTATTTGCTAGAATAATTGATTCATTGGCACTCTGAAAATGGTTAACTTCAAAAATCATCTTCATTTTTTCAAACGAGATTAAAAATAATTTGCCAATATTTAGAATTCTATATTTTCAGTTGACACTTGGCATGCAGTCTCTTTCTCAAAGTCAGTTAAAATGAGTCTCTGCTGATGAGCTACTTTGCTTATCCCACTTTGTAACAAACATTTATAAAATGAGCAAGTCAGACCCAAATGATTTTTTAAGGTCCCTCTCAATTATAAAATTCTATGAAAGGACTCTTGAATATGCTGAACGACACTGACATGAGGGAGGGTGGTGGTGGTAAAGACAGAAAGAAGAGAATGTTGAGTGGAGGGAGAGAAGGTAGTGATCACTGCATACAATCTCTGAAAGAGGAATAAATATATTTCTATACCTCCTTTTCTCCCATTACCTCCTTCAGATTCCCAAGTGTTAGCAGGGAAAAAATTACTCAAAGTAGACAGAAGTGGAAACCCAGTTAAAGTTTTCTGTTCAGGGAGAACCAAGAACATGATCTTCATTTTTTTCCCCCTCTTAAATCAAAATCCAAAACCCACTGATCTCGAACGCATTCCATCTCATTGTGACCCTACAGACAGGGTAGAACTGCCCCACATGGTTTCTCAGGCTATAAATCTTTACAGAGGCAGACTCCCACATCTTTATCTCACAGAGTGGTTGGTGCGTTCAAATTGCCAACCTTCTGGTTAGCAGTCAAGCTGCTTTACCATTATGCCACCAGGACCCCCCCCCCCTTTTTTTGGTCATTTTAGTTCTATAAGAAACCAAACACATTGCTGTCAAGTCAATTCTGACCCATGGTGACCTTGTGTACTGCAGAGCAAAACTGCTGCATAGGTTTTTTTGGGCTATCATCTGTACAGAAGCAGATGCCAGGCCTTCCAAGGTGATGTTGGGTGGGTTTAAATGCCAACCTTCAGGTTAGTGGTCAAATGCAAACAATTTGTGCCATAGGGACTTTAGTTCTTTACAACTTAGCATATAACTTTCAATTGCTTATAGCACAGGTAATAAATACATATTAATTATGGTAAACTTGAATTAAGAAAAAAAATTGAGTATCTTTTAAAAAAAAAACTGAAAGCAAAAAATCTGAAAACAGATTGGTGTGCTATTTTGTGAATGCTAGAGATTCTTCCACTTAACTGTTTACAAATGCAAAGACAAGCAAGCACATAAGATCACAAAATAACATCAACTAGGAAAAGACCGCTAACACATGTATACTTAAGTAATCTGATAGAGCCAGAATCAAGAATGGTTTTAATTCTGTTAGCCTGAATTCTACTACACCAAACCAAACTCAATGCCATGGAGTTGGTCCCGACTCATAGTGACCCCTCTTTGGGTTTCCAAGGCAGTATCTCTACAGAAATAGATTGCCCACTCTTACTTCCAAGGAGTGGCTGGTGGGTTTGAACCACCAGCCTTCTCAAATGCCTTAGGCAATAAGCCACCAGAGCTCCTACTAGTGAGATTCAAATAAGAAAAAGAAGAGTGATTTATACAATGAGTCAACTTATTATCACTTCTGGTACAACGGTCTGGAAAAAATTGATTGTTGTTCTTAAGTGCTGCAGGGTTGACACATAGTGACCCTATGTACAACAGAATAGAATACTGCCCAGTCCTGTCCCATCCTTACAAGCATCGCTATGCTTGAGCATTGTGCAGCCATTGTGTCAATCCATCTCACTGAGGCTCTTCCTTTTTCGGTTACTCTCTACTTTACCAAGCATGATATCCTTCTTCAGGGACTGGTCCCTTCTAACAACATGACCAAAGTAAGATAGACGAAGTCTGACCATCATCATTTATTTATTTAAATTTTTATTGTGATTTGGGTCAAAGTTTACAGAGCAAATTCATTTTTCATACAGCAGTTAACAGGGTGTCTCATGACATTGACTGCAATTTCCCACAATGCAACAGCTCTCTTCCCACTTCATCCCCATAGTTACATCTGCCCTGTGTCCATTTGACCCACGCACCACTGCCTCAAGCTGTCTCCCTGTGCTTACACAGCCCTTTTGTTCTCACATGACTGATCTCTCCAAGGAATGTATCTACCTAATGTAAATTTTCAGCTCATACTTTTCTTTGGCTGGAGGCCACAGGAATGGGTTCAATTCCAGACCTGAAGGGCAGCTAGGAGCCCCAGTCTCAGGGGTTCCACCAGGCTCTATTAGACCTGCAAACTTAGCCCCCCCTTTTTTTTTCCAAATGATTTTGAGTTCTGTTACACATTGTTCTACCACTCTATCTAGGATCTCCTACATAGATCCCTCTCCAAGTGGTTGACAGTGGTAGCCAGGCAACATCCAGTTCTTCTGGTCTCATAGTCGTATAGCTGAGGATCGCATAGTATACCAGTCCCTCGGACTAATTGTTTCCGTGTGTCTTTGGTTTTCTTCATTCTTCTTTACTCCAGATGAGGTGAGACTCGTTGTTGCATCTAGATAGCTGCTTGCAAGCTTTTAAGATCTCAGTTGCTACTCACCAAAGTAGGATGTGGAACAATGTTTTTGTAAAGTATGTTATGCCAGTTGAGCCTGACGTCCCCTGTGACCACAGTCCTGAGCCCACAGGTCCAACTACTCGCTCCCTGTGGGTAGCTGGTGTCGCCAAGAAGTGATTACAACCTTGTCAGTTCTATGATATACCTGGAAATTCTTACAGAACATACAAACACACTTACAGAAATATTGTCTGCCAACCCTATACATGGTCATGGGCACACTTCCCCCTGCATAGACATACCTAATCATTCAGCTTGTCCACCCATCTATCCACCTGAATATCAATGTTTCCCATCATTGACAACACAGTATTGTAAATGCAAAAGGGTTCATCTATGTTTTCTGTACCTCCCATGCACCTCTGTCTGTCTTCCTCTTCCTCAATGCCACCATGTTGATCACTCACATCTGGAACACTGCCATTCCCTTCACCCAAATTGATACTTGTCTCTACCTGTGATAGTTGGAGCTGTGTGTCAACTTGGCTGGACCACAGTTCTGTGTGGTTTTTAAGCAGTTGTGATGTGGTTATTTCTATGATGGAATCAGATGAATATGTTTTGAGCAGCCAATCCATTGAAAGGAAGTTTTCCCAGGGACGTGGCCTGCTTCCAGTATATTTATGGACATCCTGGGAAAAGAGACACTCTTCTGTGGATCGGGATTTTGGTGTGCTGCCTACAACTGTCCGTGAGTGAACAATCCACCAGTTGGCCTGGATATCTTGGATTCATCATTCGTGGGAGTCAACAGCCAGTATACTGCCTGCCAACCTTGTGCTCCTCTGCCCCTGCAGCTGTGAGAGTTGGGAAAAGCCTCCAGCTTGACGTTTGATCCAAGAACTTTGGACTTGCCAGCTTCTATAAGTGTGTGAGCCATTTTCCTAACATAAATTTCTCTTTCTCTCTATATGTAAGTTTTATTGGTTTTGTTTCTCTAGAGAACCCCGTCTAACACACTACCTATCTACCAGTGTTCCCTCCCACCCCTCCCACTCCTGATAACCAACAAAGAGACTTTCCTTCCATGTATAAACCTTCCCTTGACTTTTTAAAATAAGAGACTAATACAGTATTTGTCCTTCGTGATTGACTTATTTCACTCTGCATAATGTCCTCCAAGTTCATCCACGTTATGCAGTGTTTTGCAGATTCTACATTACTCTTTAGGGTTGCATAGTATTCCACTGTATGTATGTACCATAGTTTGGTTATCTATTCTTCTATTGATGGGCACCTAGGTTGTTTCCATATTTGGCTATTGTAAGTAGTGCTACAATGAACATGGGTGTGCATATATCTGTTCTTGTCCTGGCCCTCACTTCTTTAAGATATATACCTGGTAATGGAATTGCTGGGTCAAATGGTATATCTAATTCCAACATTTTAAGGAATCACCATACTGCTTTCCACAGTGGTTGTATCATTTGACAGTCCCACCAGCAGTGTATGAGAGTCCCAATCTCTCCACATCCTTGTGAGCATTTGTTATTCTCTGTCTTGTGAACTTTTCTATTATGCTGAAGTGAGATGGTATCTCATTGCTGTTTTGATTTGCATTTCTCTAATGGCTGGTGGCGTAGTGCCTAAAGCATCTGACTGCTAACTAGAAGGCTGGTGGTACAAACCCACCAGCCACTCC